TAAATTTCATATATTACATTCTTTCTCTTTATCTCATTATTACTCTCTTACATTTATTAGGAGTATATTTAGAAAAAAATTATATTATTACATATTAATTGCTTTTAATTAATTTTAATTGTTTCTTAAAAAGCGTAATTTGCCAAAAGGTTCTTATAATTAGGGACGGAGTAGTATATATATAATTAACAATACAATATATATAAAATAACAATACTTGCACTCTTTAATCATAGGCATGTGGGTCAACCATATATGATACTAGCACATACAAACCAAACATGGGTGACCCACGTGATCAACGACTTATAAATAGAATTATCCTTCCTGTTTGACAAACGAAATCGATTACCAACCATTAATACTAGGGCCGACCTCATTAAGATCTTGGTTAATCACGTATCTCGGCGCATGATTAACAGCAAACAAGACAGAAAAGAAAAGGGGGGAAAAAGAGGGAAAGATAATGGGTGCGGAACAGATCTTATTCAGAAGTAACAAACACATTACAGTACAAAGCAAAAAAATTAGCACAATAAAGTTGAACACAAGTACCATTATTTTAAGAGAGACAAAAATGTCTCGAACATGGAGCCCTCACACACAGTCACAATCCACAAAGAGAAAAAGAAAGGAGAAGATGCTCGATGATCAATACCTCGTGCATATTTAGGTTTCGTTTCGCGTTTTTAAAATATTATTGCTTTCAAAATTTATTAATCGTATGACTCCTAGCTAGACCTGCAGTGATAATGCTTTAAAAATTTGGCGAGCATAATAGAGCCTTCAAAAGTGGACAGTTTAACTGTGTAGAGAGGATGAAATAATATTACTGTACTTTAAAAACTCCAATAGCAAAGATCTACATAATATATTAGAGGAATGACAGGGCAAGTGAATATATGGGAAAAATTAGAGAAATCAAGTTCAGTAAAAAGCAGGGCTTTGCCAAAGTCCTTGTAGCTTAGTCTCACTGTATTGGCCTTCGTTGACACTTGGATCAAATGTTCAATATCATATCATCACTTTACTCCAACAAAAAAAGGGAGGGCTTAAAAAAATCAAAATAATGATGTCTAGCTGTGATGGTCTGATATGGTTGGGGTATTCAAATTTGCCCACGTAATGCCCTTGTCTGGATATCGAATCTTGCAAAAGAAGATTCACAATTATATAAAACCTTTTCCTTTGATCTTTCTTCCTCAGTTATATGATGAGGGGTCTAGCTCTACAAAAGTCGACTCGTCCCGGACGACACTCTCTGCTTGTTCTCTATATTACTCCTCCGGTCCTAATTATAAAACCCAATTGACTTATTTGAGGAGATTAAGGAAGTAAGTTAAGTTGGTTATTTATAATAAATAAGTGTTGTCATTCCTAAAATATCCTTGCTAATTAAGTATATTGGCTAAAACTATCATTATTAGAAGGATTATCTTGGAAAAAATGCATAAATATAAGAGACAAAATGGATTGGGGTCTTATAATTAGGACCAAATAAAAAGTCAAATGGGGTCTTATAATAAGGACTGGAGGAGTATATACTCACACACACACATGTTTATAATGTTCATTAGGAAGGTTATGCGAAAGGACGAAAAGGAGGGCGTTTATTTAACAATGAGTGTAAATTACGTAAATTACATGATTGCTTAGAAATTGCAGGTGATTAGCTATTTAATTATCAGGCTATAAGCGTGGCACCACGCTTGCCAATGAGACATTATATTGTTAGCTGTGACAATATTGACTTTAACATTATATATCCCTGGAGCCAATGATTAAGTGAGATTCACTGTAGTTATATATATATCTCTCTGAAATAACATTAATATTGACCTTATTTATGTCATTACTTATATAGTCCCTAACGTAGGATTTAACTGGAGAGTTAATATATATTATTAGTCCTAAATCTAATACTTATTTCATATATTTATCAATTTTTTTCAAATTAATCCTATTAATGCTCCCTCAATAATAATCAAATAGAAGAGGAGGAAGGGAATTAAAAAAGATACCTAAGCTATTTTTAAGAAAACATATCATATTAACTAATTTAACTAACATTCTTAATCTATTTAAATTAATTAATTAGGTTTATATTAAGCAGTACATGCTTATATCTACAAACAATTTCTCCTTATCTAATTCTTATCTCAGGAGAATCAAAACTTAAAACTCAGCTACCCACGTCCGACAATATTATAATACAACTTAATTAAATTATGCTTCTACTGAAAGATTTTTTTTTTAATTGTCAGAGCTAATAAAAATAGTGCAAGTCAGTTAATTATTTAGTGTAGACGAATCAATATGAATAAGAAAATAATTGAGCTTAAAGAGGTGATGTAGCTAGAGGCCAAATAACGTGCTCAATAAGTGCAGGTTGGTATAAAATTATAGACGGTTTCGTGGGGTAGACAAATTAAAAAGAATATCGCAACGATGCAGAAAGAATAATCAATCAACAACAGCAACCGCAATGACAGTTACAATGTCCTTGTATTTATATGTGCTGAATACCAATGATGAGTATTTGTTTATAAAATAATACCAAAAAGGGAAGATCATACCAGAGCCCCTTCCTCTATACGTGCATTTATAGCTATACACGATTCCATATCATCATTATTTAAAGTAATAGCATATAGAGTATTATGAGACCGATATACCAAAAAGGCAACCAGTGTTGGAGTCAAATACATACTGCTCCTCCTCAAGGGGGTTGATGATTTGTTCAGTCATGGACAGTAGTATAGACTTAATCAATTGTTTGGTGAGCAATTATTGTCTTAGTTTTCTATCCCTAACATATAATAGCCTTATAATGGCCTACGCAAGAGATGCATATAGCTATTTTTTTTTTAAATAAAAGGAAGAAAGAAATTCTAGCTTTATTGCAATCAAAGTGGGCAGACATGGGGCTAGACTCCAGAGCGGACTGTTACTCCATCCAAGTGATTATATATTGAATATTCGTAGATCAACTCAAAGCACATCGTTGATTAATTAATTAATTAAGGATCAGTGAAGGACAAGCGCGTTGAGCTTGGTTCTCCACCACACACACGCACACACAAATTGATTAGGTACATGTGGATACGTAGTATACGTAATCCGTATTGGTAATGCATGCTAGGACATGCATTATGGTGTTTGCCTAATTTGTGTGGTTGCATGCTTCGCTTAGTTGCTTAATTATTGCCCTTTTGATTTAAATGGACCATCTTCAAATCGTATCATCTTTATCAATTTTTTTATATGTGTGTATCTATAGAGAGAGCCATATTTGGCTGTTATTTTCTGTTTTCACATTCGTAAGTGTCTCCCAACCTGTATTATAGTCCAGAGTTTAACTGGGGGACAAACAGTGGCTCCATTATTGTTTAACATTAATATAATAATGCTGCGTCGACAAACAGTGGCTTTTCTTTGATTTGGTTTTATATTTCTACTTAATAATGGAGGGTAGTACAGTGTTGCCTGAAAATAGTAAACTTTTCGACAACAAAGCATCGTGCCTACTACTGTGAACGCTAGATTCTGTGGTTCTCTCCTTTTTTGCTTTTTGACGAATGGAATTTTGTGGTTTTCATTCGCTTTATATTTCTCCCTTCAAGTTTATATATTTGATGATATTGAAAATGACAACTTGCAAGAAAAAGAGGGATCAAAAGGGTAAGCCAAGGCTATTGACTTTAAATTTGTTAAAAGCAAAGCATCCAAGTATATATCATGTCTTTTAAAGCAAATGACGTTTCCCTCTAGACTTTCGTGGAATTAATGAGTGTTATATTATTCTTAATTATCCCACAATTAATCTATCCCCTTGCCGCAAGAAACCCCCGGCCCCCTCCCAACCCCTTCAGATTAAGCCACGTAGTATAATATACTTCTTCAAATGCTGTTCATGGTGTTAAATAATATGCCCCTCAACTCATGGCATCCGAGTCTAACTAATGCAGATTTTATTTTATTTTTTATTATTACCCCATATTCACATGCCATTAATTCTCATTGAAAAAAAGAGCCTAATATTTGGAGAAAATTCGGAGGTGGCTTCCTTGACAAGTAAAACTCTCACTTAACAGACGCGTCAACGATTACCCAGCTTCAAAGTTTCCTTCAACATCAATTCCAAACTTATGGTTTTGATCAAAACGTGCCAATTTATATATTCTTGGGTTAATTGAATGTGAGAACTAAACTGTGAATTAAGTCATGAAGATATATATATATATATATATATATATTCTGGAGTACAACAAAAGCACGTGTGTGAGCAAGGCATCAAATGTCAAATTTATGTATTAATTCAAGCATTCAGATCGATCGCCAACAGTCCCGTACGTACAGTCCTGATCAAACTTGCCCCAATCATATATAAACAATGAACATTTGATGGGGGACTTTGGTTACAGAGATACAGTGTGCATACGATCGATATATCCCTCGATCTCCGAGGCAACGGATTGTTTCTTTCTAAATGGAGGTGGGACACAAACTTTGATCACGTGAGAAAGAAATATGTTAATTTGGACCCCCCCGTTATAACGTACGTGATATATAATGTAGCAGATGTTAAAACATAAAAATCTTATCAAATCAATTCTTGAGATCATGTATGTGCTGTGATTGGCTTTTCCATTCCTCTAGCGTAATGTCGTTTTTTGTTTTTTTGGCTTTCTATGAACATTCACTGAATTTTAAAATTGAAGTTTTGATAACCATAATGATTGGAGATAAAGGAAGGCATGCATGATCGGATTCAGCTGGATGGCCTTTCCAACGTTATGGTTCATTTGTCCCGATTGCGCAGAGACTGCTCGCTCATCAGGAATCAGGAAGCCAATACTTCCAGTTTACATTAATTAATTAATTAGTGTAAAAAGTACAAGGTTTCCGGAACGAAATCACTGATATGATCTATAATGAGACTGAATGATGCGGTTGTTATTGTTGAATGAAAGGATCCAAAAAAGTACCGTACAGGGTAGTTCTTCCCCCCCCCCTCCTTTTAACCAACCCGTACAGGTACAGATGAATGGATAAATGGGGATGCTCATTGTCACGTATACACACATGCTGGGCCCCCACTCATCACCATCTCTTGCATCAGCCATAACCAAAACTTAGCTTCTCATTCCTCATAACTGGGAGAAAGGAAGAAGGATCTCTTCTTCCTTAATTAAGAGTATAACCTTAGACGATTCAACCTACCCACAGGGCTCTGTTCTGCGTTGACAATGGTAATATTCTGTTTAACGTAAAGAAAACTGTGTGTCAAGAGAGAGGCGACTTTTGGAAATTAAGCTTTTAGTCAACAACGATATGATCAAGATTCCCGTGTTTGTTTTTCCGATCGTTCCCTCTTCAGTGGATACTTTCTTCTTTCTTCCAAGCATGTAGCTTTCATCTCACGGATGAGGGTTTCAAGTTTCCAAGGATGTAGCCGGGCGTAATGAAATTTCTGGAACGGGTATAGAAAATCATTGACATTCCCCCTTCGTTTTATTCCTAACCCTTTACAATTCTAACAAAAGGAGGGAGGCATGAGCAGGCAATCCCAAAGAAAACGCAGAAAATACAGAGACACGACAGTGTTGTGTTGCAGCCCCCCTCGATGAAAAACCACAAGGGCATAGCACACAAAGAAAGAAAACCAGAGAGATATACCACAACCATTCAGAAAGAAGAAGGAAAAAAACAGGGCACTCAGTAATTCCAGAGCAAACTATCGAGGTTATTTATGATTCCACTCTCTGCTGGCACTGCTAGCTGATCAGCGATGTACCCGTCACAATCTTCCATGCTCTGTAACCATGGTGATTGATCCATCCACCCATCCGATAAAGAGTCCATGAACACAAACTCATTCCTAAACTCACGCGTCTCCTCACTTGTTTCCAAGCTCGGCAACTCTATGATCTCGCTCAATTCCTCCGAACCACTGCACATTTCCCTTGCCGAAACCAACGAGGTCATGGAAGATGAAGATGACAATAACGAGGCGGACGATGACGATGGCGAGTCAAACTGATCCATTTGAGCGGCTTTTGCTGCGGCTGCCTGAATATCGCGCGGAGAGACAGAGGCGGGGCGGGGCAGCGAGCTTGCTAGTTCAGGGAAATTGAGAATGGCGGAGTTCCCTTTGATGCTCAGAGCAGCGACGTCGTGTGCCCTTGCGGCCATTTCAGGGGTTGAGAATGTACCCAGCCATATGCGAGATTTTTTGCGTGGCTCGCGAATTTCAGAAACCCATTTGCCCCAGCTACGCATACGGACCCCACGATACACAGGATGTTTATTGGAGTCTCGAATGCGTTTTATCTTTTTTGATTCTGGGCCCTGAGACTCACCCTGTGAGACTGATTTTTTAAGAGCCCTGCTTGAAGGGGGTGATGATGGTGAAGTTGGCGGCGAGGAGAATGAGTTTGAGCTGCTCTCTGCTTCAGAATTCTGGGGTTCAACATTCATCGTCGGCAATGATTATTAGGATGGGAAAGGGGTGATGCTTTTTTTTTTTTTGGCTTTTGAAGTTTCTGGTGTTGTGTACAGCCTACAAAGAAGGAGGCACGGGGTGAAAGAAACTAGAAACAGAGAAGGGAGAAAGAGATTTTTAGCAAAGGGCATGCAAGTGAAAACGATGAGCTTATGCGTTGTTCCCGTCACTTCCCAATGAGTCACACAACACTTATAAAGGTTAATGGGGGACCCGCGAGAGAAATGGGTTGCCCTGCCAGTCCCAGTGGTAAAATGAGTCCACAGTACCTTTCTTGCGCCACGCAACTTACTTTGAATTTTCCTGCATTCCCTGTTCTCAAATCAACCCCCCAATAACTGGTTTCACCCCCCATTACACTGTTGATTTATCCCTCATCAGCTGGCTTTTCTGCTCCATTATCAACTCCTTTCATTTTCACCAATTTTCCTGGTTCCTCTTCTCACCATTCCCATTTAGTGAGTTATATATCGTGATGCGTCTCTCAGCAAGGAAGCAAATTTGGTAGGCGGAATGGTAGTATTAATGAAGATTAATGGGTGAGGCAGCGAGCTAAAGCCATCGCTGACAGTCTCATACTTGGACATAACTTACTTTCTTAATTTCGGAATGAAATATAAGACGGACATAACTTACTTTCTTTCCTTGACAACACGCTGTTTTGCTTTTATCGGTGGACACTAAATGTCACCATTAAGAATCTGAGGTTCTCAATTCTCTAGCCCCAACCTCCAACTCCCAACTTGCAACCCTGGCTAGATTCATTCAACTGCATATTTTGTTCTGGACAACAAAAAGAAACTGCATATATTATTATGACCTCATCAAGTGTACCGCAGTTAGTTGATTTATTGAGCTGATTGAAAAAGGTGACTTCCGGGTATTCTCCATAGAATATTCATCCAACCAATTACCAAAGCGTGTGACTCCCTTGAACAATAAGATGGTAACAGAATGAATGAGGTTATTGGAAGCTCGTTAGTTAGTACCATAAATTTTTGCCACTCTTTGGATCATCTCACTCTCTCCCTCTGTGAGTGTTTTTTACCCCCCTTAAAAATCATACAGGGTTTGGCGATCCGTAAATAATCAAGATCTCTCTTAAATTCCTGGGTTCTGCTTCATGTCTTAACTGGTGCCTTGAAGTGATTGTATAGTATACTATAAGCTGGTAGTAGTTGAATGGCTGTCATGACTTCTCAGTCACCACATGCGAGTCATTTGTAGGTGGATGCAAATGAGTTCTTGACACGTGTAGTAGATGAACAGAAGTTATTTGGATCTTAATAAATGGACTAACCCCACATATCAAATCGACATTTTCCTGTATCATATTAATCAAAGGGGCCCTTTTTCCTATTAGGACGCGACTCATTATGAATTTCTTGTAATTTACCGTACCAATTATTGTAAATTTTTTGCGTTGTAGGAGATAACCCAATAATAAAATTCCACCATGCAATGATACATCAGGCTGCGAGTGAGATCCAGTCCATACCTCAACATTACTGTGTGTTTCTGCTTCAATTATTAATGTTCTCTTGTGAGGTTGGTGTCTTTGCTTTACTCTTTTAAGCTTTTCAGCGAGAAGCAGTCTCCGAGCTTTGTGCTATGGCTGGGCTGCGCTACAAAACAGAGCAGCTCTGTTCCCTTTTTTCAATGGGTTCAGCAACAGCCTTTCCATGACTTTGGTTTTCATATTTTGCTAAGTATCGACATCTCAACACTCCGTAGCCACGTCTCCGATAATCTGCATGCCAACAAACAACAATCATCTTCGTCTACCTTCTTAGGTTGGGTTTCATTGAATTTTTGTGGGCATCGCATTAATTTCACGCGACTGATTAACGTAAGCATGAAGATAACTCTCCAAGAGGATATGCCTGCTAAATGGGCTGTTGATGGATACTTATTGGGACCCGTGAATGATTTGTCACTCTACAGGAATTACAATTATGGACTCTATCTACGAAAAACTGGCCGTATAAAGGTGTGCTCTACAGAGACAACGGCACCAGCTCATATTTTTTATCAACAAAGCGATCAACCAAACTGGGCATCGAGACATCCGGGCCATACGGACGCGCTGAAGAGCTAAAGGTCCGACAAGGCTAGTCTCATAAAAGATCCTTTGAGTTCGTCGTACAGAGCAGATTCTGTTCCCCGATTCCTCCGGTCATGTTGGGTTCTTGACTGGTTCCCATAAAACTAAATCATTATTTTTGAGTGTACCACTTTATTTAACCGCGTAATAGAAGCTAGCCTCAATTCACTTCAACCTCGGGTATTGCATGCATGCAAAAGATAAAAGAGGAAGTGGATGCACTGTTTGTGACACATTGCTTTAATCAGAGGATGGGGTTCCCTAGGTTGAAATGTTGAGGTGAGTCAAATGAGGTAAGGAGAATCCTGACTGAAACAGGCGGCGGCACCGCCTTTGCTATAAGTTTCACGTGTATTGCCCATACATGCGACTGCAAGATATAGCAGGGTGTTCGACCCACATTAATTTCACTGCCGGTCGGTGGGACCTTATCACCTACTTAAACATGGTAAATATTTCATGCATGGTATGGTCACACAATGAGTCTGATGTTATCTCATGTCCTGTTCACCTGCTTTTCAGATGATAGTTTCAGGATCATACGGGGACTTTTAGTTGCAGCTTTTGCTTCTTCACATATATACTTTAATTTCATGCATTCTAAGTGGGGCCCCACAGAAGAATGTTGATTATTATAGTCTTACCTTGTGACCTTGATTTTCTATTGGAATGTGTACTAATTCATGTTGATACGAAGGTGGTGCAAGCAAATAGCAAAGTACAATTATTTGCAGGTTCTTTTCCGGGCAATATGATCGATTACCTTCTGCCATGCTCTGTTTCAATGGAAATTATGCTTTTCTACTGTTTATTCGTTGCATTTTGATACGGCACACTGCATACGAGTTTCTTTCAATTTTTGGGTAAATATGGTCTCAGTACGGCTGGCAATGTGCTTATCATCATGAGCATGTCCAAATTCGGTATTGCCAGAGAAATATGAAGCTAGTACCCCTCCATTTTAAGGACGATCTACCACTTGAGATGAACGCTGCTCAAATATTTGAAAAAAGCAATCAAAATCCACCGTCTTTAAACAGATTGCCAAAGGCACATGAAATGTATCTTCCTTGTTGCACCACTAACCTGAAACAAAATGATTGTCTTCATCTATCCATTTGTTAAGTTGTCTGTGAAACATTATTTTTCCTTCTTCCCAGTGAAATGAAGAAGTCGTTTGATTCGATATCAAGCGCTACCACAAAAACCTTGAAATACTTCATGCAAACATTCCTTACTGGTTAAGAAACTAAATCTGCTCCGTTAATATGCAAATTTGTAGATCTTCACCAGAAGTTAACAGCGTTAGCATCAAGAGGATCTTCTCTAGAGGCAGCAGCTTTTCTTATAACAAGAGCTTCTGGGCAGGTGCGAAGTGTGAACTATGGAAACATACCATCAATGGTCACAGAACTTTCTTCTGTCAAAAGTCAAAACTAAAGCAGACTGTTTGCAGTTGTCGCCGCTGTACTTCAATACTAGCAGTTAAGAGTTGTCCTCATGCTCGTATCGGACAACAGAGTCATGAGTTATCTCTACGTGAAAAAGATAAAATAACTGACTTTGTGCCATTATTAAACTTGTTTCACAATAATTCAGGGACATTGTTATTTTGGACACAGCAAATCTCCACAAACTTAACAATCAGTAGGGAAAATATTTATATTTACACCAGACCTCCCAATCAACAGTGGCCTATTCAATCAACTAAACACGAGCTCTGTCTGTAACATTTATGTTGCATTTATGGAGAAGACTCTGTTATACCAAACAGAATGAAGAATCATGTGAAATATATCGTACTTGACAGGATTGGCATGCCAAAGAAAATGCCGCTGCACCTTTTTGACCCTCATCTGCATTCGAAGATAGGTCTTTGTGGGGATGGAAAGCAGTAGGCTCTTCAAATTTGGGATGTCTTTCTCCAACACAAAAACAGCAAACGATTCCCAATTCAATACTTCAATAAAGGGAGGAACAAAATTATCTGATATAATGACCGGAACACACTCGTAAAAAATAGCCTCCACCACTCTTGGACTGTTCACTTCGTAACCTCTAGCACATATACAGTATTTGCTGCTCTTCATGTAGTGGATGTAGTCCCTGTTACCCTTGGACTTGGGCAATTTTCCAAATATTTTCATGTCAGGATCTTTATTCTCCCAGTGCTTCAACAGAATTGGCCTAACATACCCATGCATACTGCCTGCAAAGAAGGCCAGATTTGGTCTCCTGGAAATTCGAAATCCTCCAAGGTCTTTAGTCGGGTTCCGAGAATTGATGACAAATGTTTCAGGCAGAGATACGTCCTTCCCAAACACAAACCCTTCTTTGATATCAGCATTGCACAGTGCTTTTATGCAGTTAGACATGCGCTGCCTTGTTTCTGCGGGGGCCTGCATGAAGATGAATGAGATATAATGTTTATTGTTTCATTAAGTATAAATAACAAACGGTTGGTGGACCCGGCAACTAATTAATTAAAAGGATGGAAATATACCCAGTCATGGCAAGCAGCTAGAAAATGATCAGCTCCCCCTGTTCTGTTCCAGAAGGGATACTTCCCCCCAATCATGTCTACATAATTATTCAGATACTCGATCAAGTTCTTGTGACTGTGTGAATTCTTTACATACAAAGCTTCCTGTAACATTCGAGAACTAAATGGTAAGTAAAACAGGTGAGCTTTCTTTGGGTCTTTGGTAACAAATCTCGTATTAGCTTCCATCAGTTTCATGAACCATCCCTCAGAAGCATATATTCCCGTCAGAAATGGTGAATGCAAAACAGGTCTTGCTCCTTCTCTGTATACATACACTTTAAGAGTCTCTTCCATTAACTCATAGCTCCTGAAATTAGACACCTGACAATTAGAAAGTTTAAATGAATGGCTCAAAAGCAACATCATATATCCTGTTTCATGTGTTGCTGCGGGCCTGCTGATATACATTTCTTTGCATACATCTTATACAGGAACACAAAAACACGTCGACTGAATATTCATGTTTAATTATGCAATTCGAAGAATAAGATTTTATCTCTGAAGGATACTTTCTAAACTTTTTAAATATGTGATAACATTATACCTCTTGAACAATGAAAAATTGTGGTATAGTGGAGCATATAGACTTGGATCATCCTTCACAATAGGTGCATTTTCAATCTCTGATCTGGCCTGCAATAGCTCCTGATCGATGGCTGAAGACCACAGCGGCCTCTAGAAAGAAATTAACAACATGTACAAGAAGCCAACACAACAGCATCAAAGGCAGGATTCCTCCCATTAATTAAACTGAAATAAAATGAACATTCAGTTAGTAATATACCATAGAACGGTACGAGGCATGGCTCTGAAGCATCAACTTGTTCATTTCAGATATTGATTTCACTTCGGGAGTTGGCATGTGTGAAGTTTTACTTCTAACAGGGGAATTCTTGCCTTGTGCTTTGTCCTCATTCTGCAATGGCTTGAAGTTTTCATCCTTTTTTGCCATGTTTTCTTTCTCAACTGAAGATGTGCTTGACTTGGAATCAATTGGCAATCCTGAAGTGACATTAATTGGGTCTACTACTGTTGGATGTTTAGGTTGCATTGCCGGAGAAAGGGACAGAGGACTAGTGTATGAACTTTCAGTATTTTGTGCTGATATAGATGGAGCGTTTTCCCGTCCAGAACTGTTCGTCAAATTATTACCCATAGTAACATTATAAATGCCGTGGTCAAACCGTCCTGCATGCTTCGTTGCAGATGCATTATACGATTTCTTAATATTGTCCTCCACAGGAAGTTTGTCAGACTCATAAAATTCAGAAGATTTGTTTGATTCCACGGGGGGTTTCAAGACAAAACCAAAATTTGTAGCTATCTTCTCTTCCCCAGATGTCTTCGGGCTATTTTCCACTTCCAAGGCATCCCCATCGGTAGAGTTGGGGTTATTCAAACTTGTCATACTGTAAGATATCTCAGAATTAGACGGTGGTTGTGGAATCTGATCGCTACTAGTAGCTCCAGATACTGGAATCTTACTGGTATAGAATAAATTGACTAGCACGTTGCCATATGGAAGTTCAAAATATTGAAATGCCAGAATCAAAGTGAATGTTAACCCAATGAACCGTAAAAATCTCTTTCTTTCCAGCTTCGTCAAGGACAAAAAATCTAGACCCATTTGCAGAAGTTCTTTTCCCGTCAGTTCACTTCAACTACTCTTACCACCTCTGTAGATTACAGAAAAACACTAATCGGGTTAGAAAGACAAGCATTTTTAAACTAAAGAAGGGGGTGGAGGACAGAAATTTCCCTTTCTGCCCGGGACATTGTCTCAATCCATTATTTAAAAAAAAAAAAAAAAAAGGGGGAAAAGGGAACTTTGATTGATTGCAAATATTATGATCAAAGTAACAAAAGGCATAAGAGATGCGTAAAGAAAACAAGAAAAGAAAAGAAAAGAGTAGCATGCAATTGAACCACCTGAGAACAACCAGTCCTAGTCAGACTGGGATCAAAATTCCAGAACAGAGTCGCTGTCCTCAAAATCCACCAAACTTGAACTTATGACCGACCAAATTACATGCAAGTATGCAACACAAGAAAACGGTTTAATTTTGGTGATAACTTTTACTCCACGCAAAGTCGAACCCAAAGAGACTGGCTAATTGGAAATCACAGGCACTAGTGCACTACAATGAATCGGCATTTTTGTTTTTCTTGGGAAGCATCAAGGTGATCGAAAGAGAAAACGAAAACAGAAGAGAGTTACGAAAACAAGATAATAAAGAATTCAAGAAGAGATAGCTTGAAGTATAGTTTTATCCGGAGGGATGTGAATCACCTGGTGTTAAAGGCAGATTCTGATCAGAGGTGAGGTGTTTGTGATATTTCATGCACTTTCAGGGTGATCAAACAGGGATGCTTGCTTTCTTTAGTTTAAGAAGGGAAATAAAAGAAAAATAAAGTAGGTGACGGCACGGACTCCTACGTCGGAGCTTCAACTACACGCTCCTCCGTTCATTAATTTGGCTGATTATCGCGAAATAACGTGACGACATTTACATACATACATATATATTTATATATATCATTGAAGTGCTGAACCTGAAGGCGAAGCAGAGGGTCTTGAGGGTTGTGAGTTCTGACAGAAATCCAACGGAGCTCAATGCCACGCGGCACCACCTCCGATAGCCACTTCGCTGTCGCTTTTATTCCTCATAATTTCTTTCGTGCACCTTTCCATTTCAATAATTCCCTCCTCATTGCAAGACTGAAATAAAAACCAGCACTTCAATTATTATTTGTTAATTTTAATTACCCCTCCAGTTCTTAATATAAGACTAATTTAACTAATTTGATTGATTAAAAAAGTTAGATAAGTTAGTTAATTATAAAAAATGTGACATGTTTGTCCTAAAACACCATAATCATCTTTCTTAATACCTTCTTCTCTCTCTCTTCTACTTGGTTATGGTTGAGGGAATATCTATAGGGGTAATTTAGAGAAAATTAATAAATATAAAAAATAGGTCTTATATTTAGGACTAAAACTAACTTAATAATTGAATCCTATATTAAGTAGCGGAGGAGTAATAAGTAAAACGCTTTTAATAATTACCATTGCACTACCATCAATTGGCCGATTCTTTGTTGCAAATGATATGTTGACAACTAATTAGATTATTAAGTGAGCTTTCCCCTGAAATGAGAGACCGTTTATTATATCTTTGCTTATTAAATATATTTTTTTAAATTTTTGTTGTGCACTTGTACTCCGTAGCATAATAGAGGCCTAATGCTGCACGTTAACGTTTATCGTATCTAACAATTGGGAGATTCCCTATATTTCATATTATTTATGGAATTATTCAGGATATCTGAGAAGTAATAATTTAAAAATTCTTTTTTGAAAAATAGAGGGAGGAAGTTGAAAAGTAAAAACGAATTGTGCATGTACGCTATTCATAGCTTATAAATAATATAATTACCCAACGTTTTTAATTTTTGCTTTATAGTAATTTGAAATGAAGATTCGCTCATAGCCATCAGATGTCACAGTCTAATTAGAAATTTAAGTTAGCCACAGTCCAATTTTATTTAAAAAAAAAAAAAGCGATGGGTGTAGCGTCCTCTCGCTCTTGATACTTAAATCTTAAAAAACCTAATCTCGATTGACTATTGTTTGAACCCTGAAGCTCGAGTTTGAAATCATGAGCAAATAATGATTTAATATTGGCCCCTTCACCATCAACCAATTTGCTTCCGCCATGGGCAAAGGCAGATAATTGACTAATTATATATAGCTCCATATATATCATTAATTGGCTGGCGATCATGTCACCAATTTACGTATAATGTTGTGAATAGTCATGAAACTCCCCACCGTTTTCTTGGTTTTTTCGGGTCGGAGAGTGAAGCATGAAGGTACGGCGTGATTGAGAAGCAAACCAAGCTGTCAAAACTCAAAACTGGAAATAGATCAAAATTTACGATTTAAGACTCTCAGCAAAAGACACGAGTGCGCACACATATATACTCCCATTCTTTAAAATAAAATCCAGTTAACTAGTTTGAATGGTTAAAATACTAATTAAATTAGTTAAGATTGTGTGTTTTTTTTAAAACACAAAGTATTTTTTTTAATTCTTTTTCTCCCTCTCCTATTTAATAATTGTTGAGAAAATATTAATAGGATTAATTTAAAAAAAATAAACATATAAATTGGATTTTATATATATATATAAAACAAATATCAATTCTCTAATTAAATTCTATGTTAAAAACAGAACAGCGTCCTATAGGAGTGGTGCCTACTGCCCAGTGACTTGTTTAATTTGGAAGGTGCTCCGGGGGTTGTGGTTACCAATAACTAGCAGTACAATTTAGTGGGACACCCTAGCAAGTAGACCGACAGAATGAAGATCTCGTGTTTAAAGCATATTTGGACCACCCTAAGTGATAAACATAAAGGAACTACATATATAATTAATCCTGCAAACATGGTATATTTTCCTGCAATCTTATATTTGACGCTAACTAGAATATGGGGGGAACTTCGGATCAGTCATACGATTCATATTTATTACTCATTCAGTGTTAAATATAAAATTCTTATACACACTAGTATAAAGATCAGAGAAATAATTTTTATGTATGTCTTGGGAGGCAGATACATCGTCAGACAAATTTATGGGATGAGTCATAAATCACTTGTGTAATAAATTTTTCCCTAAAGCTGGATAAATTTTTATTTTTGTTATAATCAATTATTAATAATGATTGTTTTGGCATTGAATTATCGAAAACAAAGCTATCAAGTTCCTATTTAGGGGGCAATTGTTTTTATTATTTTAATTACCGAAATAGTTTTAACCGCACGTGAAGGAATCGCTTTTGTTTTGAGAAAGGAGAACTGGAGAAGTCAGTGTTGACCCGAGTCACTCTTAATTTGTATCGTGATCCTTATTCATAGAGCACTGAACTATGTATCTTTAAATTGGAATCCTTCGAGTACGGTTCAGTATACTCTTTGAAACAATATACCTATGACGCGCGAGGGAATGTACATGCTGGGATAAATCTATTAGTTGGGTTCATTCTTAATATTTGTAAATTACGACAATTTAGAGAGAGAGAACGAGAGAGAGATAACTGCAGATACACCAACTTAATTAGAATAAACCGAATAAACCGTGCGTTAGTAGTATAATTCATATATATTATTCCTCCGGTCCTTAATATAAGACCCAGTTAACTAATTTAATTATATTAAGGAAGTTAGATAAGTTAGTTAATTATAAAAAAAATGTAACACGTTTTTTCTAAAATACCATAATTATCTTTCTTAATATCCCATCTCCCTTTCCTACTTGAGTATGGTTGAGAGAGTATTTATAGAAGTAATTTAAAGAAAATTGATAAATATGAGAAATGGGTTTTATATTTAGGACCAAAATCAACTCAACAATTAGGTCTTATATTAAAGATCGGAGTAATACTGTCTCTTTTCAAAATTGGCACTTGTTATACTTTTCATGTAATTATGGACTTTATAGTTGTGATTATAGCCGAGTTGCCCTTTTTTTTTGTTCAGTTTATTTTAGAAAAGAAGTATTTTTTATTTACTAGGGCTGAGGCCCCGCCCAAATAACGTGGATATATATATATATATATATATAAAGAAGGTGCATAAAGGAGAGGTAATTAATAAAGGCATTAAGTGGAGGAATAATTAAGAAATGGCGACTTGGGGTATGGCATTATTGCAGGTGAATTGCCCCAGTAATTCTCAGAGAAAGCCAGCTAATGCTTTCCCTAACAGTCCTAATCAACCCAAAACTACACTCTCCTCTGTGTTTCAAGTAACTGATCTATATCTACATTTATGGCCTGCCGCGTGTGTCCTTTTCTTCTTCACCAGCTACATATTTGCAATGTGAAGGCAGGAAATGGATTTGGCTGTACTTTGCTGAGGGTCTACATCCGCACATTTGATTGTCATGAAATAATATTGTTATAACATGTATACATCATCAACATATAGTTGTACAAAATACCACCTCTGGTTCTTAATATAGGATATCATTTGACTTTTATTTTGGTCTTAAATATAAGATCCTAATTCACTTTGTCTCTAATATTTATACATTTTTTTCAAGATATTCCTTTTAACAATACTAGTTCTAACCAATATACTTGATTACCAAAGATATTTTAGGAAAGACAACACTTATTTAGTCAACTAGCTCTTTTAATTAGGATCGGAGGTAGTATATCATCATCCACAGATATCACTCTCTTATAAGTGAGGGAAGAGGGAGTATTTATATTATTTATCTCTTTAGTTGCAAGGATATATATAAAAATTTTACTATTTATAATTACATACATCCCTCTTGTGAATTGGTCTTTTTAGTGGTCCAAACAATACAAATAAATAAGAAAGTTCGTCTTGCTTAAAACTTCATTTGAGTGTATATAGATTTTTTCAAAGATTTTTCTCCTTAAGTGATGGAATTTAAAATCAGTTTTTTTTTTTACTTCCTTTTTTAATCCAGCGAGAACACCTATTGTATTGTTAAAACTGTTAAAGGTTTTTTTTAAAATAAAAAATAACAGAAGTTGAGTCACTGAGACGGGTTTTGGGTATTAAAAGCTGGGCCTTAAGCCCAAAAAGAATAACAAAAAGGTCCCGAGAAGAGATCTCCTCTGGTTTGAGCTGATAAACAAGCCCCGAAGGTGATGAAAGTGGATAAGACTGTAATTCGGCCGAGTCATCTCCACATCTCATAATTTGCGGTTGATGTCCTTCTTTCTTAGCCTCTAGTCACCCTCCCCAAAAAAGGGCAAAAAAACCTTCACTGCCTATTTAGGAGATATTTGGCAACCCCTAAAAATACTTCTCAGAAGTATTTTTTCATAAAACGAGGTAAACTCTTCTATATATTTATTTCGTAAATCGTAAAAATACTTTTAAAACCATGATTTGGTTTCTATCCAAACACTCCCTTAATCTCATTATTGAGTTATAGGAGGAATCGAAGTCTACTCAAATTTAATTTTTATGGATTATTTCAACTCACGTGCCCTTTTCTCTGCGGTAAAGGGAAAAAAAAAAAAAAACGCCGTGCAATTTTTACTTTTAGATAATTTGTTTTGAAATATTTGCTTCTTATTCTTCTTGCCACCATTGAGATACTTGCTTCACACAATAATAAGGATCAATTCGTTGAACGAAATAATTTTTCCGGCCAGTTGAAATGATTTTTTTGGTGACTTTTGTGATATTGAAATTTCGAGCATCTCCTTAATCGACGTCTTCCTTCAAGAAACGGACTGCAATAAAGCCGAAGGCATAAACCAGCATACATTTTACCAAAAAAAAAAAAAAACCCTCCATTGGCGATGACCGTCTCGTGATGAACGTTTAAATCACATTAATCCCTTCTACAAAAAGTCATTTCTTGTTGCACCTCGCACCCTCAGGTTGTGTTCTTTCTTTGTTTTTTTTTTTTTGTTTTCCTTTTTTTCGGTCCTTCATTCCCCTGCTCTCTCCCTCCATCCTTGTCACCCCCATCTTTGCTAAGAATAGACCCTGCTCAGGCTTGGATCCCGTTTTCGAAGCTGACTTCAAAGCCCTGATAGACTAGATAGGGATAGCGGCATTTTGTACTAACCCTGTAACCTATAGCATCATTAGTTCAGGTAGCGGCAGATTCTTCAGCACGACGACCACGCGGAATCTTCCAATGGATATGAACACAGATACTTTGTGAGTGGCCGCGTACCTCAGCCTAGAACCTGTTTAGAGTTTAAAATAGTTTATAAATAACTTTTTAGGGGATTTTTATCAAAATGCTACACACAGTAAAATAAATTACCATGATGCTACACTATGAAAAGTATTTCCCTAAATGCTATACTCAAACTCGTTCATCACAAGAACGAGTTCAAATTTTCAAAGAAGTCGTTCAAGGGAAGAACGAGTTTCATGTCTGATATATTTTTTTTTTAACAAGATCGAAACTCGTTCAAGGCATGAACGAGTTTAGCCTGTTAGAGCGTCTCAGTCCGCTTCTTCTTTTCCTCTTTCATTTCAGCAAAATTTACAAACAAAGACCCATACCATCAACACATTCTTCCTTTTTCTCTAGACTTCGGAGAGAATTGCAATTAATGACCCAACTCTCCCCAACCACCGCTTTCGTTTTTTTCCTTTGCCCTTTAGTCTATATTTCCAAAAAATATGAATCAATTTTACTTTACATCCTAATAATTAAATTTTAAAAAATATATAAAATAAATTTATTGAATATAAATTATTTATCAATATGATATAATATATGCAAAATTTACACCTATTTAATATAGTCATTGGACAGATTGAAGGTCAAAGATTATGAGGAAATGAGTGGTGTTAAAATTTATTAAAATTAAACACAAATAATTATGTACAACCGCCTTGTAGCATTCTTGTATATAAAAATTTTTTAACAGAAATTATGTACATTTATGGAACAATTTATTGAAAAAAAACATAACATGCAAGTGTTTGGTTTAAAATTTGCAAGTTTAAATTTAACCAAACATAAGTTTATTGAAATACTATTATAATTTATATTTGAATTCTTTTTAAAAAAGTCAGTTTAATTTAGCATATTGCAACCTGTTTAGATATATGATAAATCAAAATATATCACTTTTAGATGTGTAATTATTAAATAGGAGTATAAATTTTAACAATATTCATAATCTAACTTTGAATTTGTCCATCAGCTAAAAATTAAACGTGTTTGAATTATTAATATAAATAAATGGTCATTAAATCATGACAAGGCTGTCTTGATGTATGCGGCATCTAAGTATATATTGTAAATATTTGTTTACAGGATATCATTTTAGCCGGTATCAATTTCTAAGTTTTTTCTAATATTTGTAAATGTACATAATTTCTGTTAAAAAAAATTTTTATATACAAGAATGCTACAAGGCGGTTGTACATAATTATTTGTGTTTAATTTTAATAAATTTTAACACCACTCATTCCCTCATAATCTTTGACCTTCAATCTGTACAATGACTATATTAAATAGGTGTAAATTTTACATATATTATATCATATTGATAAATAATTTATATTCAATAAATTTATTTTATATATTTTTTAAAATTTAATTATTAGGATGTAAAGTACAATTGATTCATATTTTTTGGAAATATAGACTGAAGGGCAAAGGAAAAAAACGAAAGCAGTGGTTGGGGAGGAGTTGGTCATTAATTGCAATTGTCTCCGAAGTCTAAAGAAAAAGGAAGAATGTGTTGATGGTATGGGTCTTTGTTTGTAAATTTTGCTGAAATGAAAGAGGAAAAGAAAAAGCGGACTGAGACGCTCTGACAGGCTAAACTCGTTCATGCCTTGAACGAGTTTCGATCTTGTTAAAAAAAAAAATTATCCGACATAAAACTCGTTCTTCCCTTGAACAACTTCTTTGAAAATTTGAACTCGTTCTTGTGATGAACGAGTTTGAGTGTAGCATTTAGGGAAATACTTTTCATAGTGTAGCATCATGGTAATTTATTTTACTGTGTGTAGCATTTTGATAAAAATCCCACTTTTTAATCATAATTTACAGAATAAAAAATAAATATATGAAAATTTTTTTTGTCTCTGTTGATATAAAACATGTTTATAAGTAATTTTATTTATGATGGCAAAAAAAAGCTTAACCGTAGAGCAGATGACAGAAGTATGTGAGTATAACAAAGAGATGAGACAAACGATGCTATTTCAACAAGTGTTGATGATGACAGGGACTGCCCTCATTGAAAGGAACCTTGAAACTAAGTAGCTATTGTTTAATAGGGAAATCGCTGGGCCTCGTTTATTTCACTCAAGTCGTACCAGTCAAACATCCATTGTTAACGCCATTTGTCTTGACCCATACGAAGGATCAACTTGACTTGTTGACTGCATAAACCAACAAACAGATCAAGCTTCCTCGGTGGGACTAACCTAGTAAGTAGGGGGGGGGGGAATTCCAACCTTTTGAAATTGTCTCGATTAGCTGGCTACCCAGAACTCAATAGATACAGGGGGCAACAATTCCAGAGACAGTCAGTGATGTTGCAGGATCGTCTCCAGGAGATGTATGAAAACTTGTGTGGCCATTCATTTATTAACTGTTTGCTGCTATTCTTTATGTTTTCTACTTTCCTTCCGAATGCTCAAGCTCGAGACCCCGAACGGATCCATTTGAGCACAGAGATGACACTAGTGATGCTCTCCATTATGTTTACGATAATACTTGGGCTGATTGCTTATATAAAATTCTGTGGAACCAGTTCTTCTGAGCTTCTGAACCAAAGCGTCCATCCCCAGAGCTTGGCTCGATCGGAGCAGTCCAGATTTTATGGGATCGACAAGCAAGTAATCGAAGCACTTCCTGTGTTCGAGTTTTCTTTCCTCAAGGGATCAAAAGAAGGCCTCGAATGCGTGGTTTGCCTGTCGAGATTTGAAAACAGCGAAACACTTAGGTTGCTCCCAAAGTGCAAGCATGCTTTCCACATGAATTGCATAGACATGTGGCTTGAAGGTCACTCTACCTGCCCGCTCTGTAGATGCAGGGTAGATCCAGGGGATGTCAAGGGCTTCACTTCTTCAATCAGCTCAAGGTTCCTGAGTGTCCCTTCCAATTTAACAGAGGAACCAAATCTCGAAATCCTTGTGCAGAGGGAGCAATCCCGTCAAGAGTCATTGAGAATCAACTATGCGAGAGGCTTATGGAATGTGGAGGAGGGCAGGAAGGAAGAAGAACTACTCATTGATAATGGTGGAAATCGGGAAATTCTGCACAAGTTCCATCATAGGATAGTTATCTCAGGTTTTGTTATGAGGAGTAGGTGGAGTGATCTTACTGCGACGGATTTGCTACTCTTAAACTCGGAAATGCTCAGTGTTATGTCGAACAGAAGATTCCTTGCTTCAGAATCCGCCAACGGTGAATCCTCACGATGGGATTCAAACCTTTCAGGTACTTCCAACGAGGAACAACACTCGTACCAGCCACTGAATTGGGGTCGTAAAAGATCATTGTCTGAGATTACAATTGTTCCGAGGTTGAAGGAAATCAACAGGATGAAAAAATTAGCAGCATCGGGCGACAACAATGGGGGTGAAGAGAGATCATGGAGGATATGGTGGCCGATCGCGAGGCGAACCGTGCTAGGGTTTGCCAGACGAGAAAGAAGTTCCACGGAGTTAGAATCGAAACAATTAGGTTCAAGTGTGTAATCACGGCAGTTGACTAGAGCACTGTACAATGTTAATGCTTTTGCTGGTGAAATTAAATTACAAATAAAAACAATTTCTGAGAAGGAACCTCACCTCTATAAGATCGTGTGCAAATTGATCCACAGAGAGAAAGCCTGGGGACAGGGAGAACGACGGGGGATGGATCAGAAACGATGCGTTTTGAAAGAGATTTGAGTGGCGTAGGCGTTTTAATAGCCAAGGAAATTGAGCAAGGGCATGTTTTTCCCGCAATGGCAAGCAAACTGCTGCAAGCAAGCAGCTTAAAAAGGTATTGATTGAATATCATTTACATTCTTTGAATGCTACACCATTATTGCATATCTGATATTTGAACTTGATGAAATTCGCATTAGCTCACTCTGAATTCCGTTGCCTTGGGGGCATTTCCTGCGCAAACACATGCACAAACCGATTAAATAATCCATTCATTGGCGCTCTGCTACCCCAATTATAGCCATTTCTCACCGTTGGGCACCTTCAATTTCTTCATTACCAACAACCGTCATCCAACCACTCTGATGATGAACGATAACGCCTCATTTAATTTACCAAGAGACGCTTCTTCTCTGATTAACTCGTTATTCTCCTGACGCTGCACTTGGCACTCCATGTTTCCTTTCTTAACTATGCTTCAGCTGTAGCTAAGCTAACCCACGAGAACCTTTTATTGCACTTTACTCCATCCTTTGTCCTTTCTTTAAACCCGTCATTTGGACTGAAAGTGAAACAGAAAGATACAATGGGAGATCATAAGTTATTGCAGAATTCAATAAGCGTATTAATAGGAGGTTCCACTCGTAGATGGTCCGGCTCCGCCTTTGTGGTAATGATCAGAACCACCGCATTGACATTTTGGGATTCCATTTAACACTGGCAGGCCAACCCAACTGGGTAGAAGACAGCAGCAGATGCCACTCGTTCCCAAAATTAAACAAAAGGCATTAAATTTAAAGCATTGCATGGTCCCTGAACCTTCGTCTTTATTATAGGTAGAGGGGTCCTAAATCCTAATCATTCAGAATCCAGCACGCATAATCCCTGACATTGCTACTAGTGTGGAAACAAGTTCGCTCGTCCAAGGCTCCATGCAATTTGCCGACGCGGTTGATAAACATTCACACCTTAAATAAATAGAGCGCTCATCGTTCCCTCAGATTGGTCTTATATTTGTTATTGTAGCCCTACCTCGTCAAATCTAAACCCCTTTTGTCTTACTCCATCCCTTTGTTGATCTCATGCCATGGATTTCTATGGACAAGGATCTCTCCATAGCTTGATGGACAAGGAAAATATGGAACATCAACCTCAATTTCACCTTAGCGTCCGAACCCATAAAGAGATAAGCAAACATGATGTTCAATTAGCCTCACCGAGGCCTTCTACCTCTGACGCCACAGTGTTCCCAATGATGCCATCCCCTGGCCCTGAATCACCATGGACGCGTTCCCCACGCCCAGTTTCTCCTCCTCCTTCTCTTCTTTACTACTGCATCGCTTCGCTCCATCGCCACGACGGCAATATCTACGCCATCGCAGCTACGAAGGGCTTAGTCTTTACTGGCTCTGACAGCAACAGAATCCGCGTGTGGAAGCAGCCCGACTGCATGGACAGAGGATACCTCAAAGCTAGCTCAGGCGAAGTGCGATCCATTTTGGCTTACAGTGACATGCTCTTCTCGACCCATAAAGATCACAAGATTCGAATTTGGAACTTCATGGTTTCCGACACTTTCAAATCCAAAAAGGTAGCCACTCTTCCCAGAAAAAGCTCGTTTCTTTCGTTCTCCAGAGCAAGCAGCGCCCATCAACATAAAGACTCTGTTTCTTGCATGGCTTATTACCATTCAGAAGGGCTCTTATACACTGGTTCTCATGACAGAACAGTGAAGGCTTGGCGGGTTTCAGATAGAAAATGCGTAGATTCATTTGTGGCACACGAAGATGATGTGAATTCACTGATGGTGAACCAAGACGATGGGTGTCTTTTCAGTTGCTCCTCTGATGGATCCGTGAAAATATGGAGGAGGGTGTACACAGAAGACTCGCACACCCTCACAATGACTCTTAAATTCCAGCCTTCCCCTGTGAATACAATGGCATTGAGCACGTCCTTTAACCATTGCTTTCTCTACTCGGGGTCATCAGATGGGATGATTAATTTCTGGAAGAAAGAGAGACTGTGTTACAGATTCAACCATGGCGGGTTTTTGCAGGGTCACCGTTTTGCAGTTCTTTGCCTAGCGACGGTGGGGAACTTGATATTCAGTGGATCGGAGGACACGACGATAAGGGTATGGAGGAGAGAAGAAGGGAGCTGTTACCATGAGTGTTTATCAGTGTTAGATGGACACAGAGGGCCAGTGAGATGTTTAGCAGCTTGCCTTGAGATAGAGAAGGTGGTGATGGGGTTTCTGGTGTACAGCGCCAGTCTGGACCAAACATTCAAAGTGTGGAGGGTGAAGATTTTGCCTGACGAAAATCTGTGCGTAGAGTGCACTGATCAGCGCGACGGCGGGAAGAGGATTACAGAGTACGATATGAGTCCTGTTTTGTCGCCATCGTGGGTTGAGAAGAAACTTCGAGATACCTATTTTCAGTGAGATTCCGGAAATCACTCCTCCGCTGATCCGCTAGGGCCGCCCCTTCGACCCCTCACAGTCACAGGCGTTCGTGTACCATTCGGTACTGTGAAATCTGGATTTAATCAAGTGCCAGTTCTCTTCATTTCTTAATTCTGAATTAGCCAAATGCTTCAGGAACTGGGCAAGCAAATTAACAGTCATCATTACGGTATGATAGTTTTGTTATACTGTAACATAGTTTCTTTTTCACTTTATTTATAGTTTATGGTTTAAGAAAACATAAAATATAAAATTAATTGCCCACAGTTTTGTTGAAATCAAAGTATATAACAATTCAATGTGCTTTTTTTTTTAAAAAATAAAATAATTGCATGACTTGAATTTTTTCCTAACCGGGAACCCTCCCAGTGAATTTTTTTCCTCTAGTTAAATGCAGGAAGGTTATTAGAATTACAACCCTCCCAATATGGAAAAAGATACTACGTGACCTGTAATTAATCTTAAATAATGGGAAAAGCACATAAAGCCATCATCTCAACTTAACAGAAGCATTTAGAGGATTACATTACACTGGTCTCCACCACCGACAACACCACACATGAAATTACATGGGCTGAGATGAATAACACGGTTTGATTAGTTATACAGTAGGAGAGATGGGGAGAGGTAGATAAGGCAGAAATAGTGGTAGCTAGCTAGTGGCTAGCGATTTTCCTCATCATGAGGAAGCAGGGCACGGGATCGGTCGATGAAGAAGGTCTCATAGATGAAGCCAGCAAGGCCACCCCCAATGAGTGGGCCGACCCAGTAAACCCAGTGATCGGTCCAATTCCCACTGACCAAAGCAGGCCCAAACGATCTTGCTGGGTTCATCGAAGCAGCGGAGAAGGCCCCTCCAGCCAGGATGTTAGCCCCCACGACAAACCCGACCAGGGTGGGCCCAAGCCCACCAATGGCTCCCTTCTTTGGATCCACCATAGTGCCGTACACGGAGAACAGCAACGAAAACGTCAGGATGATCTCCCATATCACTCCCTGAGCGTACCCCACTCCACTTGCAAGCGTGTGCACTGGAGTTGTCTGCACAATTATGAGTTCACTTGCCAATCAGAATTTGGATTAAATGATTAAGCAGATTAAGCTAAATTCATGTCTTCGCGGACAAACTAATCATTACCAGTCCGCCGGAGAGGTAGTAAAGCAGGTAACAAGCGAGGGAGGATGCCAGTAATTGGTCGATCCAATAAAGTATGGAGCGGAAGAGGGTGATGTGACCGCCCACCAGGAGGCCGAGCGTTACGGCTGGGTTAAGGTGGCCCCCGGAAATGTGGCCGGCCGATATCATGGTAGCCACCACAAGCGCATGTGCCACGGCCACGGCAAACAACCCTACCAGTGCGTCTGCTCCTAGCTTTTCTGGATGGATGATCGAAAAAAGGAATGAATAAACTGTGTGTGTGTGTGTAGAGTTAGTGTGCGTGAAACTAACTAGTTATGAAAGTAAGAGGGTACCTACGGCCATGGCGGAACCAACACCGGCGAAGACGAACAGGAAGGTGGTAACAAATTCAACGACGAGAGCCTGAAGGCAGTCGGGCTGGGTAGCCTCCCGGGAGGATCCGAGAGCGATCTTGGCCATGGCTGAATGGATGAGGCCTTAGCAAGCCACTAGTTACTAGATAAACAATGGTGGGTTTGGTGTATTACATGCCAGCAGGCTTCCCGTTATATATTATGCAAAACCAGAGTACAAAACATCAAATAATGCGTCTTACACTTTTCTATTACCAAATTTCCAATCCCAATCACATGCCCCTGCTTTCTCTCCTTCGCTCCATAATTAGCCTCCACTATATTATTTATACCTTTAAATTGTAATTAAGTCACATTTTTGCACTACTCGAGCACATATCTTATCTTATTCAATTAGAAACAGGGAAACTATGAATATATACAAGGAATCAGCCGTCGGATACTCTCACGAATTGAGATCATCAAACCCTCATTATTCTATTTTGTCCCAAACATCATGGATGTATAGCGTCCTACTTTACACTAGACGCGCACCAACATGACATGTCACGTCGTCTGCCAGCTTCTTGTGCATCATAATTAATTTCGCAATCAAATAAAATCACAGCTTATTAGACATATAAACCCGTACTTTAGGAGCGAATTTCACTTTAAAAAGAAAGGAGAGAAATTTATGATTTAGTTATTTTTGGAATAGATCAATTAATATTTGAAATAACGTCATATAATATAATTAATTTATTCCAAAGAACAAGTTGAGGATCCTATAACAAGTTGACCTTTGAAAATGAAAGGAAGATGGGACTGGAGAGGGTAGGTTTTCGTTGTCTTTGTGCTAGAATAATTATTATGTTGTTTTGGACTAAGAAAAAAGTTTTGTTATCGCCGTGTCTGTACAGGCTCATGGTATGTTCATAGCTTTGTCACTTACCTTCACATGATGACGAT